TGTTCAAAGGGAGTATGTTGTTTTTTTTTTGGACCAAAAAAGAGGTAGTACATTGTTATTTATTGTTTTTTCAGTTTTTTTTACTAGAAAATATTTAAAGAAAAATGATAATAAAATACCACTTGAATTCCAAAAAGACAAATAAGGGACCTGAATAAGCAAAATGACAAATAGGGCACTGGTACCAATCTGGAATTTTGATTTTTGATGTCAAAACATGTTGCAAAACCCATTGACAAAGTAGTAACTCTCACTATGAAAGTTGTAAATCTCACTATGTGTTTTGTAAAATTCAGCGTGGAATTGTATTGTTTTTTATAGAAAAGTTGCCTAACCCCTCAAAACAGGTTGCAAAAGCCATTGACCAAGTAGTAATTCTCATTATGAAAGTTGTAAATCCCACTATGTGTTTGTAAAATTAGGCAAAACTTGCTCGGCCCTTCAAAACAGGTTGTAAAACCCATTGACGAAGTAGTAACTCTCACTATGAAAGTTGTAAATCCCACTATGTGTTTTGTAAAATTCAAAATCAAAATCCCATATTGGTACCTGATGCCTTCTTTGTCATTTTGCTTATTCATGTCCCTTATTTGTCTTTTTGGAATTCAAGTGGTATTTTATTGTCATTTTCCCAATATTTAAAGCAAATTAATATTTTTCTGTTAGAAAAAAATAATTATTTTTCTATAAACATATTTAATCTTATAATTTATAAATATATATACACATATTAATTAATTATTAATTATATTATCTTATATATTATTAATTATGTTGGTAAAAATTATTTTATTAACAATATTATTCCTTCAAATTAAAATATATTATAAAATCTATCCCTTATATAATTATCATATTAACTTATGCCTTTTTTAGTAATTTGCACATGTAAAAAGTGTTTCTGATAATAATTATCCAAACACTTTTACTTCTTAGAATCACTTTTTCACAAAATCTATTCTTCACAAATTATATTCTTCCTAAAATTTATTCTCCAGAAGTTATTCTCCAAACTATGGTTTGATTTTATCCAAACACCCCGTAGTCATGATTTTAGGGCCTGCATAAAAGCAGGGAGCCCACCGGAGGATCAAGCTAGGCCGGGCCTTCGATGGGGTAGCGACCTGCTTGCCCGTACAATATTTGATCTAATTAGAATGGTTCCACCAGGGAAAACACTGTTCACCGAAACTCAATAAATTATTTCAATTCAATTACCCAATTTTTCTTCTGAATTATGCCGGATTTTAACTCATAACTGATCCATATAAATAATTCAGTTTATTATAAATTTTCTTATATATACTATTTTGTATTACATAAAAGGAATTTAAATCTAAAATCTTTACTCACACTCTTTGTTGATCATTATTAGATTATGTGGCTTTTCACAAAAATTATGTCTGTGTGTGTGCGCGCCTGTGGAGAGAACGACCACCTTCAGGAGAGTTAAATATTACAATGTAATAAAATAGATTGGTGGGATATTTTATAATTTGTTAATATTTGATGTAACAATATAAAGAAATAATATAAATAAATATGAAGTATTTCTTTATTCCTAAACATAACACCTATTCTATAGTGTAATTTATATTATAAAATAGATCTTATATGAAAAGTATTGTATTTCATAAGTTATGAATAATGCTTCTTATTATATGGTATCGACTTACGGCTGTGAAAAATAATTTTTTTCCCCTTCCAATTCAATTTTTCAAGCACAATTGTCGAATGTGGAGAATAGTAATTATGACACAGACACAGGATACCTGCTGGCGTGGTTCTGTTATAAACCATAAAAAAGACGAGAAGCGAGAACATCAATAAAAGACCTTTAAAACCATTTTTATAAATTTTTTTGTCGGAATAATTATATTGCTATTCTAATACTATCTCAAATTCTTAATATAAAATATTATTTAATTCTTATTTTGACTATAAATAGAAAACCCATTCCACTTTATATCTTATACTTTGTTTTTTAAATAGTCATTCTAATAATAATATTTCAGACCAATAAATTTGATTAGTAAGAATATTTTAAGAAAAACAATACCTATTTATTATAAATAACTAATTAATTTATTTTTTAATATATTTAAATTAATCAACTAGTTTTTATATTTATGGCCGGGGACTGTATCGAATTGTTATTCCCGTTCTTTTGATCCTTTCAAACTAATGTGTGGCTTGAGAGGTTCTTTATATATTTTCTCCCAATAAATAAAAGCAGCCGATTTGTCTCATGCCATCAAATTAATACAGTTTATTCTATATATTTAAATATACACAGAGCGAACTTTAATGTCTAATCGGAGGGCTGGTCAAAAAAAAAAAACGCGGAGGAGCTGTTTTCGGCCATAAAATTAAGGAAAATTTTCGCTTTAAGACACTGTAACTAGTTAATACTAGTCCTTAATATAAAACATATTTAACTAATTTGATTATATTAAGAGAGTTAGATAAATTAGTTAATTATAAGAAATGTGACATGTTTTTTTTAAAATACCATAATCATCTTTCTTGAGGGAGTATCCATATGGGTAATTTAGAGAAAATTGATAAATATGAGAAATAGGTCTTATATTTAGGACCAAAACTAATTCAACAAATGGGTCCTATATTAAGGACTAAAGGAGTATCAGCCAACCCTTAAAATATTTTAAAATTTCAGTCAACTGGTCAAAATGAAATTAAAATTTAAGAATAAAATTATAATGATACCCTTTTTTTATTTTTTTAAATATAAATATTAATTGTTGATGTTAGCCATCAAAGCTTAGGTGGTCGAGATTGAAGGTCAAACCTCCAGTGACTAGAGGGTTGTTTTGTTTTTTTAATAAGGTGGCTAAGGAGATTTGAACCCATGACTCATTGGCATACTGAAAATAATATAAATACTAAGCCAACTAAGTTATTTAATCATATAATACAAAGAAAAATATGTGTGTGTGTGTATATAACAAAACAAAATGGAAGTGTCTAAGTGTAAAAAAAAATGAAAATCAATAATTTATAAGTGAAATTCAGTAATTTATGACAAAAATTTGGTGATTTAAAAGTAACATAATAAAATTCATAACCCAAAATACAAGTGTGTAGGTGTGAATAAGCAAGTGAAATTTGAAAATTCATAGATTTATAATCCAAATTTAGTTATTCATAAGAAACATAAAAAAATTCACAACCTCAAATAAAATTTTTTAAGTGTGAATAAACTAGTGAAATTCAACGATTTACAACCCAAATTCGGCAATTCACAAGAAACATGAACATCACAAGACTTATAATGAACACTTGTATTTGATGTTCTGAATTTTCTTATAAGTTTCGTGATGTTCATGTTTCTTATGAATTGCCGAATTTAGGTTGTAAATTGTTGAATTTTTGTTATAAATCACTAAATCTCACTTATTCATTTACACTTAAATATTTATATTTAGAGTTATGAATTTTCTTATTTTTCTTGTAAATTGTCGAATTTGGATTGCAAATTACTGAATTTTTGTTGCAAATTTTAATTTTACTTGCTCATTTTCACCTAAATACTTGTATTTGGAGTTATGAATTCTATTTTATTACTTGTAAATAGCTGAATTTTTGTTGTAAATTGATAGATTTCACTTGTTTATTTACACTTAGGCACTTACATTTGTTTTGTTTTATATATATATATATATATATATTTGCATCATATGATTAAATAGTTTGGTTAGCTTGGTGGTCATATTATTTTGATGTGTTAAAGGGTCATAGGTTCAAACTTTTCCTTAGCCATCTTATTTTTTTAAAAAGAATTCTCCAGTCACTAGACTACTATTAGAGTTCTAACCTCCGGCACTGGTCACCTGAGCGCCCATGATCGGGTCAATGGAGCTCCAGGAACAATTAATATTTATTTTTAAGAAAAAAAAAGGAGTATTATTGTAGTTTTACTCTTAAATTTTAATTTCATTTTCATTCAGAGGATTGACTCAAATTTTGAAATGTTTTGAGGGTCGATTGATATTAATTCAATACAGTGGTCAAAAAACAAAATTTTCCCTAAAATTAATACTAACAATATTTTATATTCTCACGTTTTACGCCACACACAAGAATGACCTCGTTTCCTGAGTAACTATTTATTGGTTTATTCGCTCATCCCTATCTCAATGGTTGTAATGTGTATTGTTCAAAACTTTTTGGAGCTACTTTTTTTTTTTTTTAATAATGAGTACAAACTAACAAGATACGAAGGATACATTAGGAAACCTAGCACATAAGCACCTAATATCCCGCACGATGACCTCGCATTTCTGATTATATGAAGTCTGCCCGTTCAACAGTCTCACCATGCTTGGTCTATTCAACATTATTGATGGATTATAGGCACGCGGAGCCAGTATGAGAGACTAATGGCATACAAAGTAGAGCCTCTTGCACAAGTCTTCTAACATTGTTTGAGTGGGACTTTTATTTTTGGGAAACATACTAACTTTAGAACAGAGTAGACTTTTCTGAAAGAAAATTTGAACCCAAACTTGATGAACAGTGCGCCCAAATTGTTTTAACCAACCCAACCTCAGCAACAAAACCCAACCATGATGAAAACCAGAAGGGATTGAGACCATGTTTGTTTCCTTTGCTTCATTCAGCCTCATACTATGAGCTTGAATAATACTGCTCTGATGCATCAGCCATCTACCATGATTTAAAACTTGGGCTGGGCAGCATGATCTATTCTCAAATACCTTTAGATTTCTAAAATACCAAAGACTACACAAAATAGTGCACATAAGAACTTGAGACTGAAGAGGCAAATCCATTAAAACCTGATACAACCATCCCCTCAAGTTAGTAAAATCATGCTCAGAAGTTCGAAAGCTCAAAGGAGATCCAAACCAGACCGCCCTTGCCCATTTTTTTTTTTTGAGTAACAAAGGCAAGCTACAGCTTGAAAGAGAAAAAGCTAGGTACAATCGGTCCTAGTTAACATCATGCATAAAACAAAATAATCAGTAGTGTTTCTCATCTTCAGCAATTATCTGCCTGCAAAAGTGAGGAGTCGACGGAACCAGCATCGTTTGGTACGTAGTCTGATGACCCATCTTCGCCATATAATCCGCACATCTGATGGTCTCCCTGCTAGTGTATGAGATTTCCACGTCCCAGTTAGCATATATTAGTTCTCTTACCTCATTAACTAGACTTTGTAGGGGGTGTCCATTCATACCATCTCTCATCAGGATATTAAAGGCTTCAATAGAGTCTATGTAGAGCTGTATCTTGCCATATCCTAGACCTCTTCCAATTTCCAAGCCCGTTTTTATTGCTTCTAACTCCGCCTCAATCACAGATCCTACTCCAATATAGCGTGTGAAGCCCGTTATCCATTCCCCTCCATTGTTTCTAATAGTGCCCCCACAAGCCGCTTGAGAGTTCGTCTTTACTGAGCCGTCCACGTCTATCCGCACTGAGTTCGAAGGTGGTGGTGTCCAGTATTCTTCCTCTTCTAGATCCAGGCAAAAGATTTTATGTTTTAGCTTTTGGTGTGAGGTGTACTCCATCAAATGGTGAAGGCATCTCTGCAATATATCCTTGTGAGTAGTAGTCGCTCCATCAAACAGGTATTTGCATCGCGCATTCCATAGTAGCCAGCATATCCAGCTCAAAACTTGCATCCACTCAAAGCTTCCGAATCTGCCACGTCCCGGTTTATGTCTGGTGTTCCAAGTCAACCATTCCTGCAAGTTACCAAAATAAAAACTAGACAAAAGGTTAGGTTTTAAAATTTGCTTCCACACCTCTCTTGCCTTCTCACAGTCCCTCAAAATATGCAACACACTCTCCTCACGTTGACATACATACGGACACTCATTTGTGGTAGATAAACCTCTTTTAGCTCTAAGTGAGTTTGTGACTAATCTCTCATGGAACACTTGCCACATGAATAATTTTATTTTCTCGGGTATCTACCATTTCCACAATTTACCCCACATCTGATTATGACTCGCCCTTTCATCCAACGCAAGGAATTCATATGCTGCTTTAACACTGAAAACACCATCCTTTGCTGTTCTCCAAGTAAAAATATCCGAAGCCTCCCCTGTTGGTGGTCGTATCTTGAGTATAATATTGATTACCTACCTCGGGAGAATATTTCTCCACATACTAACATTCCACTGATCAGTCCCCAAGACATAGTCCCGTACAGTTGCCATGTTATTCAATGTCACCCGATTCTGCACGAAGTATATTAGGGGACGATCAAGGGGTGTCCATTTGTCCCACCAGAAGCTTGTGGATGTACCATTATTAATTTTTCTCCCCAACCCTTCAAGGAACCGATCCCAAACTTCACAAATTGATCTCTAAGCCAGTGATGAGTTGCTTTTCTTGACAACATTTGGTACTTTCCCCTCACCACAATCGTACTTGGTCTTGATACATTGAACCCAAAATGCCTCAGGCTTAGTAATTAGACCCCAGCAAAGCTTCAAGATGAACGCTTTATTTTGAAGTCGAAGATCTTTAATCCCCAAGCCGCCATACTTTTTATCTTTGGTGATTTTATCCCACGCTATAAGGTGCATTTTTTTGGCTTCTGCATCTTGAGTCCACAGGAATCTCCTACTGATTCTGTCTATTTCTTTTAAGGTCCCCATTGGAAGCAGGGCAGTTTGCATCTGATAATTTGGTAAGGCTGATAGCACAGACTTAATTAATACGGATCTCCCAGCCATATTCAGGAATTTGCACTTCCAGATAGATAGTTTTTTCCGAGCTTTTTGCACTAGGGGCGAGAACGTGGAGGTTGTAACTCTATTATGGATTAGAGGTACTCCCAAATATTTCCCCAGATCCGCAGTCAAACCAATTCCAAGAGCATGGCTTAACTCCATAGCTCTGGTAAAGTGCACGTTTTTAGAGCAGAACATTTTGGATTTTTCAAGGTTGATCTTGTGGCCTGATGTCACACAGAAACTATGCATCACTGATTTGATTTCCTCCATCTGGCTTAAGCTAGCTTCTGCAAATAGGATTAGATCATCAGCGAAGAAAAGGTGAGAAAGGATTGGTCCATTCCTCTTAAATCTAAACGGTTTCCACTTCTTTTTTGCACATTCAGCCTTTATTAGCTGTCCTAATCTTTCCATGCAAAGTACAAAAATATACGGGCTTAGTGGGTCACCTTGGCGGACTCCCCTTGATGGTGTAAAAGTAGGTCCCTCCTCCCCATTCCATAGGACAGACATAGATGTCGATGTGAGACAATTCATTATAAGGTTAATCAACTTATCATCTAACCTTAAGCTTGAGAGCGTATCCCTTATAAAGTCCCAATCAAGTCTGTCATAAGCCTTTTCCATATCCACCTTTACTGCAACAAAACTCTTCCTTCTCCCACTCAGTCGCATTGTATGAATTGCTTCTTGTGCAATTATTATATTATCACAGCTGGACCGGCCCTTGATAAAGCTACATTGTTCCTGACTAACCAACTTTTCCATGATCTCCTTGAAACGAGTCGCGAGAATTTTGGTTACCACCTTAAAGCTGACATTACAGAGTGAAATTGGTCTCAGGTCCTTCATTACGCTCGGGTTGTCAACTTTAAGGATAAGGACAATTTTAGCATGATTAATGTCCTTTAACCGTGCAGGGTCTTCGAAGCACTCTTCAATAAATCTGGTGATTTTATCTCCTACCAGAGCCCAATTTGACTGGAAGAAATGGGCTTGAATTCCATCTGGTCCCGGGGCTTTCAAGGCGCCCATATCAAAAAGCCCATCCCTGATCTCCACTTTCTCCACTTCTCTAGATAACAACTGTAGATCCCGTTCCTCAAGTCTTGGGAAATTGGAGAACCAATCTGATCGACCCAACAAAGGAGGTTCCTTGGTATAGAGTTTCTGGAAGAAATCACACGTGATTTGCTTCAGGACAGCGTGATCATCTATCCAAATGCCCTCCTCATTCTTCAAGGCTAGGATTTGTTGTTTCTTACGTTTCACCATAGCTGAAGCATGAAAAAAGCGGGTATTTTTATCCCCCCATTGGAGCCATTTACATCTAGCCTTCTGGAACCAAACTAGTTCTTCTTGAGCTACCACTTTATGATACTCGCTCCATAGCTTTTTTTCAAGCCTAAAGAGCCTAGTTTTGAGATCCGTTTTCCTTTTCCTATCAATCCCTGTCAATCTCCGGATAATCTCCTTTTTCTTCTTCGAGAAATTCCCAACTTGCATCTCACTCCAGTCTCTTGCTGAATTCGTGAAAGACGCCAGGCCCTCTAACCAGTTTTTATCTTCTCACGCTCCAGCAACAACATCACTAAAACTTTCTTCCATGCACCAAGCCGCTTGATATCTGAAATTTCTCTTGTTCCTCTGTTTGTCTACTATAGGATCTGTATTAAGAATTACTACTCTGTGATCTGACTTGAATTTTAACTCATGGGAAACTTTTGCGTTGGGGAACTGAGCAAACCAAGCAAAATTGCAGAAGACCCAGTCAAGGCGTTCTTTCAATCCTGTACGCTCCCAGGTAAAGCGATCTCCCTGGAAGCTCACTTCCATGAGTCCCGTATCATCAATACAATCCTTGAATTGTTTCATTGAGGTCCAAGTTGGTTCAGTCCCCCTAGTTTATCTTCTGGACTCAAGTACGTGTTGAAATCACCAATAACCACCCAAGGATCAGTACTGCCTGAAGCTAGGGTCCTAATCGACTCCCACATTTGCTTCCTTGCCAGCAACTTTGTTTCACCATAAATCACAGAGATGCTGTAAGAGGAGTTGGTTCTAGAGTCTCTTACTCTACAGTGTAACAGTTGTGTGTTTGATTCCGTGTAGTCCACCATAAAATCCTGTTTATTCCACAATAACCAAATACCGCCAGCAAAACCACTAGCTTCTACTCTTATCCAATTACTAAAACCCAGCTTTCTACATGTCTTGTGTGCTTTGGGTCCACTGATTCGAGGTTCCAGCAAGCATAGAATGTCAATGTTATATCTAGACACAATATCTTTTATTATGATAGGGAATGCACGGCTACCTGCTCCCCTACAGTTCCAGGAAGCAACAATCATTGGACACTTGAGGGGAAAAGAAACAGAAACTACCTTAATTAATAGATTCTTCCCTTCGAGGTCCATCAATCGCCTCTTGTTGGGTCTCCTCCACTTGGGTCTCTGTACCCACTATTTCGTGGTTGGTCATTGGTTCTTGGGAGTCTTCTATCCCCATTCCCGTCGGGTCAGGAGGTTTAGGGTGACGATTATGTTGGGTACCATGCTTATCTTCCATTTGTGTCGTACACTCCAATTCACTGGGGAGGAGAGCGTTTCGATTGGGAGTCAATTGCACTTCTCTACAACTTGGAGATTTCTCTGATTTCCTGACACCTGTGTCAACTTCCATTGTGTTAATGTCTCCCTGGACTACTACATGAGCCCTCTGACCTTTCAGCCTTCTCCTCGCGTTACCGCTTTGATCCAGCACTATGGCCTTCTCGTTATTGATCCAAGTTCCCTGGTCGTTATCTGGTCCATTATTGCTTCGGCTACTACCTTGGGCTTGGCTTGGATCTTCTAACAACATCATATCCGGTCTATTCTTTTTTGGGTCATTTGGAATCCTTAAACCTGGGCTGATGTCGTTATTGGGCTTATGCTGTGGCCTTCTGTTTTCCTTCCCCATAGCCCGATATTCTACTTTTGACTTTATTCCTTTCAGCTTCCCTGCTTCAAACTTGGATGAGCCTACCCTATCGCCCCTAGTCTGTTGTACTTTTCCATTTTCGCGTATCATCAGAGCTTTTCCTTGTCCATTGTTCTGACCAGTTTCTATTTGTTTTCCCGAGATCACTTCCATTCTTCCGTCAATCTCCTCCTCTAGATCATCAAACACTGCAAAGCGAGATTTCTGGGCGAAAGTTGTATCTTTCTTTGTACTATCATCAAACCCTGCATAGCCCCTCTGGTTATTCTTCTGCTCTCCTTTCCTAGGAAACCGAGCTTTGTTTTCCTGCTGGTTAATCATCCAAGGACCAAACTGATCCTCTGTCGCTTTTGGTGTTTTGGCTGTTGTTCTATCCTGCGTTCCGGTAGGTGCAACCACCGGCGGTGGTGCGCTATTTGTTTCACTGGTCTGAGCACCAGCACTGCATTTGTAAGGGCAAGCTTCTCGTCTATGTCCGAACCTCCCACAGGCAAAACAGATCAATCCTAGGCCTTCATATTCCACGTTGAAAACAGATCCAGTAGAGATTACCTTTGGCACAAGTTTTTTCTGGAGGTTCAACTCCACACAAATTTGTGCATATTTTCCACGCTCGATCTTCGAGTTTTTATTTTGAAAGTCATCCAGCGTCTTCATATCAACCTTCAGAGTCCTCCCTATTCTGTCACCCGACCTGGAGATATAGTGACTATTATAGTAGTGTATGGGGATGTCTAGAATTCGAACCCAAGTAGCTACTCGTCCCAATGGGTTGTGATACGCATTGAAGTATGGTGACCAGCACTGCACTAGTATGCAATGCTACTTAATAACCCATGGACCATCACAGAGAACCTTCTTATAGTGCTGTCGCCAAAACTCTTCGTTCTTGAATCTTACAATGAAATAGTTATTGGGGAGATCAATGACTTCAAAGTCGTACTCTTGAAGGCTCCAGATTCTTTTAAGTTCATCCTTTAGGAAGTATAGGTTAAATCTTCGCCCTAGAACCGTTAGGATAAGAGCGTAGTTCCAAGGTTCACACCAGTCATTGAACTCCTCTTGCATTACCGGCACCACCGGGTAGATTTCCATTAGCTTTTTCACTTCCTCGGTCTCCTCTGGTATTTTCTAGAACATCTCCTTATCAGCATTAAACAGGTCATCCTCCTCCATAGGACTATCCCTGTGTGCAACTCCATTGAACCCCATAAGCGAGGCTCGATATGACGAGAACTTTGGAGGAGGGTTGGTCTTCTTTGGTTCTTCCCTTTCTTCAGTTGGTGATTGCTCTTTGCCATACACATTTTCATCCTGATCACTCATCTGATCATCCATAATCTCGTTTAGAGGATCGGTTATCTTCATTTTTTTCTTCCTATCTTCGTGTTCGTCAGGCTTTGGTCGGTCCGGTGGGACCTTCCGATGCCCAGTATTTGCCATGGTGAAGCTTTGTTGCACTTTTCCCAAGAGAGAGAAAGTCAAAACCCACTTTAGAGCTCCCTAATCGCAACTTTTTACTCATCCAAATGTCTGACCGCCCTTGCCCATTGACATTTGAAAAAAATATGCTCAATATTTTCTACTTCTCCACAAAAAACACACTCCGAATCAATGCCCACATTTTGTTGGACAAGCAACCATTTAACTAGCAATGCTTCTGACCAAAACTTCCAGCCAAATAACTTTATCCTAGGAAGGAGAGGCAATTTGTTCAACAATGTCTTGAGAGGCCCGTTAAAACAAACAGAGGAGGGACCATTCTGTAAACTTAACTTATAACTGTCAGCCATGGTATACCTACCCTCTGTATTACCAAGCCAAACCAAAACATTTGGTTGATCACAAATAGATACCGGAGTAGAGGAGATCTGATGAGATACTTCAGGAGAATACAGTAACGTTAATAAGGAAAAATCCTAAGAAACATTTTGCAGAATAAGATCTCCCACAGTTGATAAGGAGACTGGAGAGATCATCTGCATTGGCCACCATAGGCTGCTAAACAAGCTAATAGACTTCCCATTGCCAACCTGCTATTGTAATCTATCTGTGACCAAATGCGTTGTAGTTTTCATTCCTTTCCAAATAGGGGACTCTAGAGCATGGTTAATAATAATACCATCACCTAAAACGGAAACATACTTTGGTTTAACTACTTGTGCTAGAAAAGAATTTCCTGAAATCTTAAATAGTCTAGCCACCATTTTGGCCAGTAAAACTTGATTAAATGGTTCGATCTTTCGAATTCCAAGCCTCCCTTCCTTACTTGGGGCATAGATCCTTTCCCATGATATCATATGCATCTTTTTACCATTGGCCCCTATACCCCAAAAGAAATATGCAAATTTCATATCAAGCTTGTGACAAACTGATTTTGGCAGGTTATGTACAAACAACCAATAAATAAGGGATAAGACAAAACAGATTTAATCAAAGTAATCTGAGCTACTTGAGAGAGTGAAGCTGCCTTCCTTGCTAGAAGTTTGTTGTCTATTCTGTCAACAATCTCTTTCCAAAGATGCTTTCTATCACAGCCAAGATCAATATAAACTCCCAGGTACTTACCAATAGAAGAATGGAATTTCATTCCAAGCACCTTAGATAATCTATCTTTCATATTGTAAGAAACATTAGGACTAAACATTAAACAAAACTTTCTCTTATTTATTTTCTGCCCTGTAATTATCTAGTAATGTTGGATTACTTGAGCAACCCCTTGAAAAGAAGCCTCTTCAGCTGGTGCAAATAGTATAGTATCATCCGCATACATCACATGAGTTAGAGGCAGAGAACCTTTACAAATAGTCAACCCCTTCCATAATCCTCGACTCTCTTCCAACGAGATCATAGCTGAAAGTACATTGGCCCCTAGAATGAACAAATATGACGAAAGTGGATCACTTAACGCAGCCCACAAGAAGGCACAAAAGAGGTAGACAAAGAACCATTAACCAAAACTTGATAAGTCACTGAAGAGATACAACACATCAATATTTTTTTTCCACATTGAAGGGAAACCCATGTGCATTAACAAAGCATAAATGAAATTCCACGACATACTATCATATGCTTTCCGAATATCAAGTTTAATGGCACACCAACCCTTTTTATTTCTTCCCAAAGATTTAAGTTTAGCAACGGCTTCTGAAACCACCAAAATATTATCATTTACAAGTCTACCCTTAATAAAAGCATTTTGAAAAGGAGAAATAAGATCATCCAAAATCAACTGGAGCCTGTTACATAAAGTCTTTGCCAGAATTTTGTATAACACGCTACACAGACTGCTTGGACGGAAATCCTCTAAGGATTGGAGTGAATTTGTTTTTGGAATTAAAGCAATATAAGTTGTTCCCAAAGCCCGAGGAAAGGAACCAGTCTGGAAAAAACTCCTAACCATATTCCTTACATCCCTTCCAATCTCACCCCAAAAGCTTTGGAAAAATCTAGCATTGAAACCATCAAAACCAGGAGCTCTATCTGAATTCATTTGTCAAATAGCTAGATCAATTTATTCATCTGAAATATGTTGCATCAACAAAACCTTGTGTGATAGTGTTAATTGTGGGATGGGTAGGTTGCCCAAATAAGACAGGATTTCTTCCTTTGACAATTCCCCCTCACACGAATAAATTCTTTTGAAATATGAAACTGTGAATCTTTTAATCTCATCAACCCCCTGAATCCATTCACCGTCCTCAGTCTTTAATTTTGTAAATGTGAAACAGGAACACCTCCTTTTAACCAAATTATGGAAAAAAAAATGGTGTTTCTATCTCCCTTAATCACCCAATTTATTCTGGTCTTTTGTTTTTTGGAGCTACTTATTAATGTTTTCCATATGCCAAAAAAATAAAATATCCTCGTTTTAAAATATTTGCACTGAAAATGATTTCTCCCGAATTTGAGCCCGCCCACCCGCCTTCCATGCAAAAACCAACTTGAAATATTGAATTTATTTCTGTTCCCACAATTTCATCTCTCTCTTTTTTTTGCCACAATTTCATGTGAATACGCAAAATTATGACCCCTAGTTTGAACCGGACATTCAGTACTGAAGCCTCCCCCCCCTCCAAATATAAAGTATTCCTTCCTGTGATTATTGTAATAAGATCCTATGAGCATTTTTTATAAGAATCCAAATTTTGAATTAATTTGATTTTTTTAGAAGATGTTGTTTAGAGGTGTTTGAACACTAAATACTCCTCTGGTTCTTAATATAAGACCCATTTAACTAATTTGATTAGATTAAGGAAGTTAGATAAGATAGTTAATTATAAAAAATGTAACACATCTTTCCTAAAACACCATAATCATCTTTCTTAATACCTCCTTTCCTTCTTTTACTTGATTATAGTTGAGGGACTATCTATAGGAGTAATTTAGAGAAAATTGATAAATATGATAAATGGGTCTTATATTTAGGACCAAAACCAACTCAACAATTGGGTCCTATATTAAGGACCGGAGGAGTATATTTTTATCATTTTGTCCCTAATTAATTTTTTATTATCTCTCCTCATCTTTTTTGGATGCCACGTTCTCTCCTATTCTATATTTTTATCTTTTTACTTGTATTTTTCTCTTTTATTTGTTTTTTATTAAATAAGAATACACTTAAAAGAGGTTAAATTTTTACATATTTATTGTATTTAACTAAAAGAATCTTATAAAAACTAAAAAGGACTAGAAGGGGCTTTTTTTTACTAACCGCATAACTTAATCAAAAGAATCTGATAAAAAGGATCAGAAGGGGTACTTCTTCACCTGCATAATCCATTTGTTTCAAATGATGATTTTCCTGTGAAAGTTAAAAATCTTTGACATCTAAATATAATTCGATCATTCGAGAGGTATGTAATGATATTTTTAATTTTTAATTTGTAAAAATAAAGATAGAAGAAATTTAATAAGGATAAATTTAAAAAATATGATGTATCATTTTACTACATCTAATTTTTAATATAAGAGCTCTTTTAATTTTTATTTGTCTTAAATATAAGACCCCAATTTATTTTGTTTTTGTATTTATCTATTTTTTTAAGATAGTCATTATAATAATAGTAATTCTTACTAATATGCTTGATTAGTAAGGATATTTTTAAAAAAATACATATTTATTAAACTTAATTAATTTTTTTAATCTACTCAAAATAATCAACTAATTTTTAATATTAAAGATGGGCATAGTAATATATTCTTAACATGTAAAAATGAATTATAAGGGATTTTGTAATTAGACTCTCATTTTTAATACCGTGACGGACGCGCACTCGCGTGCTTTCCACGTTCAGGAATCACCTGGAAGGCGAGACCTTATAAAACGTGGATGCATCCCGGCTCTCTTGCGAAACGTACTGCGCTCTCTGCATCATTTGTGCTCAGTCCCTCCATTCTTACATTCCATTTTCTTGTGAGTCACTTCCACCAGATTCAAATGGCTGCACAGCCGGAGACGGAGCATCCACGGAAGGCTTTTGGATGGGCTGCTCGGGATACGTCCGGGGTTCTCTCTCCCTTCAAGTTCTCTAGAAGGTTCCTGGCCTCCTTTTCTCCCTCGCTTTCCTGTATTTGCATTCTAGTCATTCCATGGCGCATTCCTCTTGATTCTTTTGGTTTCTGTAGAATATGGGTGCTCTTACAAGGATTCTTCATATCTTTCATTTCCCCCTCTTTTGGACGATATAAGATCAAGATGGACCAGATCCTTTGAAAATTAGGGACCGTTGGCTCTTGTCATGGATGTTAAATATAAAATGTACCTCGCTGGTTTTCTGATTAATATAAATCGGGTACCGGATTGTTTTTGCAGGGAAACAGGAGAGAAAGATGTGAGGTTCAAAGTGTTGTACTGCGGGATTTGCCACTCGGATCTCCACATGATAAAGAACGAGTGGGGCAATTCCATCTATCCACTTGTACCCGGGTATCTTTCGGCCCGCGTCGGAATTATTTTTTTAAGTGTTGTTGCGGCTTATGGTTGTGGTCCTATATAGTTATGATTTGCTTTCCATGCATTTTTGATTATTTTAATAGCTAAAAAAGATGACGGACTATATTTTAATGTAATTAGTTTGATTGGATATTGTCTG